CTTTCTTTGTCTCTATGAATTGAGGTGAAACAGTTACCTATTTTGGTCTTGAAGGGGTGTTCTTATGTGGGAGTATACCTATGGAAACTGTGTGCCCAGTGCCTTTGCGGCAGGCCTGAATTCAATGTGGATGCCAGTCACGTCTTTCCTCAGGGAGTGCTGGCAGCTGTCACCTTGGTTGGGGGTGTGGCTGGTGATAGAGGAGCTAGAGCCCAGGAAGGGTGTGAGGCGAGACTTCTTCTCTACTCAGTGGCTGTAACTGACTTATCAGGAGTGGAGTCTACTGCCAAGTTGCTGAAATAGAAGACTTGAGGTTTGGGCTCAGTTAGCTCTGTTCCCTTTAAGTGTGTGTTTTCCCTTCTCCCCACATTAGGGCCTGTGCCCCAAAGGAGGGGGGTTCTGAAGCAAGTGGAGCTCATGCACTTACAGAGGTCCAGTGTTTTGCCTGTATAGGCATCTGGGGCTTTGCTCAGACTTTGCCCCTGGTAGCATCTTTTCCCCTGTTGTGGCCACCCCAGGTCTAGTGATAGACTACGGCATGGAGTGGGCAGGGTGGGAGCGTTCACTTGGCTTGAGCTGGGGACCTCTCTCTGCCATGCCTGGGGGGCAAGCCAGCATGTATGAGCTCCTCAGAACTGGAATCTAGTCTTCTCCAGTCTTTCTGTCTGTCCCAATGCTTTTCTGGCAGCCAAACAGGCTTGTCTCCTACAGCTAGGACCCCAGGACTGGGATACCCAGTCTGTGGTTTGACTTGCTCACTCCCCAGGGCAAGTGTTTGCCTGTGCAGTCTCCCTTTTCCTCTTGGTCCTCTGCCAGGGGCACAGGTCCTGACCCAATACTTTCCTTCTCATCCTACCCAATTATGTGTGTATCTTTCATACAGTATTGGTATGTATAGGAATCCTTCTGACAGTTTCCAGTTAGTTTTCCATGAGTATTATTCCATGTGTAGATGTATTTTTGATGTGTTTGTTGGAGGAGGTGAGCTCCACATCCTCTTACTCCACCATCTTGCTAATTTCTTTTTACTCTGTTACATAAAGATAACATAGACCCTCTCTTTTGTGATAGTAGTTAAAGGGATCAGTTATTTAATTATCTTGCAGTTTTCTACATCAGCAGACCAAATATTCAATTCATAACATTTAAAGTATGTAATATTATTAAGTAGGATTTTGGGTAGTCAGTAACAGAATCCCAAATCAAAACCAATAGGGCAAATTTGGATCTCTCTGAGAGTCTGGAAGCTGGGTTGGATTCCAGACAAGGTGTAATCAGTGTTTCAGCTCCCTTTCTCAACATTCTCTTGGCCCTACCCTTTGACGTGTGTATGCTTTCTCCTCAGGACGAATTCTCAGTGACAGTCTACATGGCTGCATGCAGCAAACAGCTCTTCCTTAGCACACCTAACAAGAGGAAAAACATAAATAACCTCTCGCCTTCCCATGAAGTAGAATTTCTTCCCCAGGAACTTAGATGAGACTTGCTAAGTCATGTTGCCACAGTTGGGACCTAGCAATACATGGTAACGTGCTGATTGGGTGAAGATTGGCTTCCTGAACAGATTATTAGCAAGTAAAATAAGATTACCAACACGGACTTTGAGTCGAGGCTATACAGTCATCAAGATTCAGCTCTGGAGTTCGAAACAGCTTCTCCTAATTCTCTTGGACTGTGTGAAAGAGCAGTGTCTTTCTAAAGCAAAGGGAAACTGTCTTAGAAAAAAAAGAGAAAAATGAATTTTGGGTAGCCAGTCAGTGTATTCACTGCTGAGTAGTGGAGCTAGGCTGAGCCCAGGGAATGGTGGTGGTTTAAAGAAAAAATACCCTGGAGACTGTTACCCGGCCTGTCAGAAACCCGTTCCTGCCTAACCCAGATTTTTGCAAAGGGAAAACAGATTTGAATAAGACCTTTCTGAAATGCGATATTAAGCTCAGGCAGGCTAGTCCATACCCAGCAATGGCCCCTAGAATCAAAGGCTAATTCCAGGTTCTTTGCATTTCTATAAAACTGCACTCCTCATTAGCATATGAATCTGTTGTTGCCATGGCAATTATGATGTATATTGTATGCTATCACTTTAGAACAGGATCTAGAAAACTGAAGGTTCTGGTTTAGGAAACAAAATCCTTCTTGGTAATAAGACCAAATGGAATTTTAACTTGGGCATCAAAACTGTGAGAAACATTACTGCAAAATGAGAGGATCTTGGGCTTTAAAGGGACATTCTTAAATCTCGATGAAGTGAGACTATACTTTGATTTATCTTTATTTCCAAATGGTTTTGAGGGAGCTTTAACATTTAAACTGGTATAAAATAGGGCAATTAAAAAACTAAGAAAGAGAAGGAGGGAAGGACAAAGGAAATGGAAGAAAGTGAAGCGAGAGAGAAATGTTGGATGAGGTTCGGTTGTATACCCATCTTGGTATTGAAATTTCCTTATTAGTCCGCTGTGTTTATTCTACAACTTGGTTGAAGAAGCAGGTCAGGATGCTGGTTTGGGGAGCTACTTCATCCTCTGTAAATTAAGTAAGTTAAGTGCAGAGGAGATGGTGGGATAAATTTCTAGACAGGCTGTGTCAATAGCTAAGGATCTGGGTGTTACCAGTCCAAAGACTTCGCACCGTGTCTCTGATCCAGATATGCTTCCTCGCTGTTCCAGCCTGGAAGTGATTCTCTCTCCTCTTCTGCCTGACCCAAGGAGGGAGAAGTTATGTGCAGGAGTCAAAATGTCTGGCTATTGTCAGTTATCCCAGGGTCCCACACAACACATGTATTAAACTCTTCCTTGTCTGGCACACCCTTGCCGCCATGCCACCTTTGTAAATAATGCCCTCCAGCATATACTTTGAATTATGGATCCATTTTTCAACAAGATACTGTTCATCTCCTTTCTTTAAAGAATTCATCATAACTGCCAGTCCATTAAGTCTACTATTTTTAATGTTCTACTGGGATTATGAATTCATTAAGTATCTCCTCAGTCATTTTTAGGGTTCAAGGCAAGAGGGGGATGCTGTAGCAGATACTTATTCTACTATTTTGAAGTGAAAGTATTCTCAGATGTGTCTATAGTGACATGAAAAACAAATATAGGGTTAAATAGTTGTGGGAATTGTTTTTCAAACATACTGTTCCTGTGTGCAATTCAGACAAATGTCCTTTTTCTCCACTCCCACAATCATGATCTGTGATTGGTCACAAGGCCTGTGGAAGGCTGAATGTTATGTAAAGAACAGACCTTGAAAGTATGTACGTGCAGTTAGAATCTCTTTATGTGGTAGGTTAAATGTTGATGCAGTCCCTTCTCCCAGCCTAATGGTGTAAATTGCCACAGCTCATGGGTCCAGGCTCCTTTGCCCTAAAGGACTTGCCATTGCTCCCTGTGGACTGTTGAGGTCATTGAATTTGGAAACTAGGGAGGCAATTAGGAACCTTACAATAACTTGGCAAGATGTTATCTCCATTCGGCATGTCAGGACACTGAGGCTCGCGGAGGTTCAGCTGTTCAAATGCCTGGAGCTAATTATAGAGTCAGATGCTGAACTTGCCCGCCCAAAGTCGGCTCACTAAGCCAAAGGCCTCTATTCAGTGCTGCACATACTTGACATTGCCACAGCCCAACATGACAGCACCAACTTCTTTTGTAATTATTCCTACCAAAAATCTTAACCATATGAAATTGGTACTTTTATAATCCAAAGATGGTCAGATATTGATAATTTCATATAGTTCTACCTCATATACTGTCCTTTAATTGTGTAATGAGATGGAGAAATTTTTCTTTTTGAAGTCAGTATATGAGTTTCCTCTTAAAGGCTTCATGAGCTCATTGAGCATTTACTTTGATATGCCAGACTGAAGTAGGTAGATCCTTTCCAAGAACAGGTGACAAGATTTCTAATGGAGGATTGGTTTGCACTTGAGGTGAAGGGGGATGAGGCAACAGCAAGTTTACCACAGAGTGAAAACTCTGGAAATCAGTAGAAGCCATTAGGAGACTTACCACTTCCTCAAGATCATGAACATGGATGTCTGAGGCAAACTTATCTCGATCTCAAGGATAAAGGTAGTTTCTACTGGCATCCAAGATACTAGTGTTCCATGTATTTCTTGAGAACAGTCAGCATGATGAGTCAGGAACCAAAGCTGTGTTTACTCATATGGTAGTGGCAGGCATTCATTAAAAGTTCATTGACCTAAGCATTTTGCTGGATATCACAGATCTAAATTTTCCAAGTGCCTTGAACATGCACTAGAAACTTAAGGCATTCATTTTAAAAGCTTAGATTCTGATTGTCAGTCTATCAGCTTTAAGGCAGGTAGTTATTCTGCCAAGATATGTAAATTAACTTTTGTTCTAGGGAAAATGAGGTCATAAACTAACAAAATGGTATATAAGAGAAGGGTGCCATTCGCTTTTATTGATAAACATATTGGGCATTAGCAAGATTCAGGTCCTGGGCTGTCCATCTACTATGCCATTTAAAGTATGGGCTAATGCTAAGTACAGGAAGCCTTATTCCAGTCTTCTTAGTGATTTCCAGCAAGTATGTGTGTGCTCTGCCTGAGGACATGTGTGTATATATATGCGTATTTTCCAGTCTACGTCTTGGCATATGTGTATATTATCTTCCCCCAACAATGTGTAAGCTTAAATACAGAGGCCGAGTTTTCCACTTCTTTAGTATTTCCCCTCTAGTATATTCCTTTTTGATTACTAAGTAATTGAAGTTTAATCTATATGAAAGGTTTAATAACTTATTTTTAAATATTCTTAAGTATCATTTTAAATGTTTAGCTCCATTATAACAGAAGATATTGTGACTTGAGGATCTCTGAATGTTAAATCCCTCATTAGGAGTGTATTTCAACATGCTTTGTTTTTTATATTTGAGACAGTGGGTCTTCTGTATATTGTCATCACACAGGAGCACTATGATATTTAGCGACTATTAGAAATCTGCTCAATTTAGGAAAAACATTTTGAAGAAAACACTGAGATTAAATAATTTATTACCATTGCTAAGATGAACACATATACTTGATACCCAATTTTATGCAGAACTTTAAAAAAATAGTTTTAATACAGTATCAAAATTTACACAAGTATTTTTGTCAAAAGACCAGTGTTCCTTGTATTAGCTTCTGCAGGCTCTACTGCAGGCACAAAAACTTGTTTTAAATGTCTTCAGAGTATAGGAATACAACAATTTAAGGATGAAAGCTTTTCAGGAGAAGGTGTAAATATAGCAAGTAATTTTCTTTTACACAGTAATAATATTCTCAAAATATAGAACATTTAAAAGAGCTTAAATCGTAACCCAATTATGATAATTAGAGAGATAATTCTTTAGCAAATTAGTTCATAAATATTTTCTGAAAACAGGGCTGCTTTTTCATCACAATAACATTCAGAAAAGTATAACAAAATTCCTTTACATTCCTTCACCAGTGACAATTAATACATGTGTAATAAGCCCATTTAAAAATGAGAGCAATAACAGAATACCTGCTGTGAATCAAATCAGAGTAAATTAGAAGAAATCTGAAAATGGGAATTGTTGCATTCCTACTTTTATAATCTTAAACTACAGTAAAAACTTAGCATTCTGTCACAGGCCTCTTGCACATTCATACAAGAAACTATCATTGCATTTGGGTAAACACAAAATACCTATCATAGCATTTCCAATACACATAGTCTATTTTTTTTAATATATATATATATATATACCAAAAATAAGAAACTAAGCAAAGCTAGCACACCTCCTCTTTAAACCTCAAGCAATCTGAACAAGAGCTTTTAGTTTCAGTAATGAAGGACATGCGTCAGTTTCATAAAATGTTAGATAGCTGCTGTAGGCAAAGAAAGCTTTTTTCATAAATGCAGTGCAATATTTTAAAGTTTACAGAAAGTTTATTAAATATAACAGCATGTCTAGAAACTGTAGAAATTGACATCGCACAGCTGGAAACACGTGGAAAAATTATGTTTGCTTGTTATTTAATTGAAATTGGTAATATTAACAGTAATGAATACACTGAATAAAGATGGAGGTTGATATGTCCCCAAGATGTCTTCATGAACGGTACATCAGGTTTAAAAGAAAAGGTATATTTATTTTGATCAGTTGAAATAAATGGTACTCTCTGATAAGCACTCTACACAGTCTTGCTACCCTTCTAGCTGGTAAGAAAAATTTATGTGGTATTTTTAGCACCTCAGAAATCAAAACAAAATCTCAGGAACCTAAGTTATCTTGCATCCAAATTAATTATGCATCAGGGAACTAGTTTTATGTTGACTAAAATATAAGAAATAGGTGCTCAACTCTTCAACTTGGGAAGCTGGAAACCACCTTTTCATATCTTGAATACAAGATGGTAGAACACTCCCACCATTATATGATGCAATGATTCAGTTCTGTCAAAACCAGAGGCTCTACTGGACTCCTCCAATCATGCAGGTTTCCCAGTTACAATCTTAGACCTGAAGAGTCAAAGACGTTTTAGTTCTAATGAAAATATTGGTACCAAAGTGGTTATTTTTTTCAAAGCTACCTTATTTGAGATTGACTGTTGTGAACATCAAAGTGAGAGACATAAAATACAACTTCAGTTATACTAAAGATTTTAGAGGGAAAATATGTGCAATGTACAATCACTCCATGTTATTCTTTGAGTCCAGGTTTGTGGAAAACCACTCTCTTCTTCTCTTTTATCTCTCTGGCAGTGGTGATGTGTCATGTTTGAAAGAGAGTGCTTGTCACATTGGTCCTTTGTACTGGTTTCCGGACAAATGTTGCCTAATTCCAGGACACGAACCTGCAGCATCTCCAAGTTTCCTCCATACAACCTTAAAAAAAGAAAAGTAAGTACCTTAATTGTCCTCTTCCGCAAAGAGATTTGTGGGTTGTTTTTTTTTTTAATGGGAGAATCTACCAGAGGAGCAAAGAGGGATATGAAGACAAGAGACAGGATACCCACATGATGAGCTCAAGCACAGAATGAAATGTGATGCAAGTTTCTAAATCACAAGAACTGCTCAGCAGGTGGGACTGCTATGCTTTGTTAGCAACCAGGGTCAAAATTCAAGAATGATGGTGCCGGCTTCCTTAGTTACAAGAGTGGTCCTCAACTCTGGCTGCACGCTGCCTACATGGAGTTACTCTCAAACAGGAATGGTCACCTGTATGTTTTAAAGTTTCCAACATGATTCTAATATGTAGCCAGAATTCAGAACACAGGAGCAAATTCCTCCTGGTTCCTATATTATATATTTATAATGAGGGATAGCAAAATGTTTCATCCACTAAGGACCATGAAGGAGTTTTTGTTCTTAGCTGTTTAAGTGCTAAGCTGGTAGCCTTAGAGTCACTAGTACATTTCCCTAGTTTTCCCTGCAGAGTGGGGGCCTCAGTTATCATAAATCTTGGCTACCAAACAGTATGGTATCTCGGATTACCACAATAGAAAGCACCCAAATGGGCAGAGAAAAGATAAGAATAAACTGAAGAATCACTAAAATAGATACAATCTGTCAAAATAAAACCACTGAAACCAACAATGATACACCAATACACTAGCGTGAATTAGGAAACACTCAGTAGCAGTCATAACCCTTCTAGAGTATTTCACTATAAGGATCAGGATCAGATTAGTTCCATGAAACTTTATACTGCTTTAACATGAACACAAAACCAGTCAGCTCATAGTTATTCATAGATTTTTTTTTCTCTTTTTAAAAAGAGCAGATACTCCGGGGAAACCAAGTACCATCCATGGTAACACACAAAATATAGGGTTCTGTCTACTTTCATTTATAAGCCAAATGGAACTGTTAGTGTCTGTGGTTTAGCAGACACTACAGTGTGGTGGAGATGTCCGGTCATATTTGAAGGGAGCTATAGTTATGGTCCTTAAATATTTGGAAAGGAATGATGACAGCAGTGGAGGGCTTTAGCTGCATACAAGGGAGTTAGGAAGGTGTCATTTCTTAATAAACTGACTGAAGAGGTACAAATTCTGAATCGGGAAGCCAAAGGGTGCTATGGACTTTCCCTTTCTAGCCCTTAAATGGTATATACAATTATATCTACCCAGAATGCTTCAAGGATAAACTCAAATGATCGTGGATATAAGGCAGTAGAGGATTATAACTCAAAAGTACAACCCCTCTTCAAGTATTCAAATGTAGAATGCAGTGGGCCTTACCCCTGAAATTACCATGTAGTGAAAGGAAACTCAGAGAAGGCAGAACTCAGAAATAAGTCAAGGACATTAGTTAACTAAGAGAGCAGAACAGGTAGGTATATGAACTGAGATGGTTGCTGAGATGACCACTCAAGCACTTCAGCTGTTCTCAGGGAATTTACAAGAACCAAACACAAAAACCTAAGATAAAAAACCATTACTACAAAAAGGTCATTTCTTAGAGCGTGGTGTATTTTTGTGGTACAGTTTAGGAAGAGAATAAAAGCACTTCATGCTTACTAAGCAACATGATGGTACTATGAATAATAGTCTTTTCATTGTATAGATTTCAACAGCTTCTCTTCAGGAGGAATATCAGAGGCTGAGATTAAAACTTCTGTTATCTTTAAGTTCTACCTGAGTCTCTTACCTGATCTCATGCTATGAGAAAGCTTTACATTTCTGTGACATAACTGTAAAAGCACATAGTTCCTCTCATAGGTTTAATAGGTTTCAGAATCTTAGCTAGTTTCTAAGAAACCACTTACCTATGAAACTCGCAATCTGTATTTTTCTTTATTCTCCAGTATTTGCTATGTGTTTTCGATGCTGATACAACTTACAGTGGTGACACAAATATTTTAAATCAGTGATTTTTCCTCTTGGCTTTTAAATAGTTTCCAAATATAGAAGTGCTAATCAAATTTGAACTAGCTTGCTTTTCTCAAATTTTGGTGATCAAAGACAGAAAAGACACTCCAGAGAACTTCTGAAGGTAAACAAGGAGGACAAGCTTTTGGCTTTCTGAAGTCATCGACAGTGCCACTGCCTGTGGCCTTTTGAAGGATTTTTGGAAATATAGGCAAACAAAGATTATTGCAAAACTAATCAAGATCAAATTCATTAGTGGGTGTCTTTTATGACTAAGAAATAATGTCTAGAAATCTTTCATCAAAAAACAGTCATTTATAGAAATTCTGGCATTCAGCACAGGGAGATGATCTCCTCTGTAAGATATATTGCTTTTCATTCTTGAGGAAAGAGAATTGAAGTGTCCAGGTTAATCACACTTGGGAAAGTGGGGAGAGCTGGTCCTCAAGGAAAATCTAGGTATACTCCTGACTTCACTCTTCATTAGAGAACAATTTGAGCAGGTAACTTAAGTTCAGGATCTTTCAAATTTAAAATGCAAGTGTGGGGTTCTTACCCAGGGGTTCCTATCCAAATTGCTCATGATCTGGGTAAAACCCAGACTTCAGAATTAGGAAAGAGCCTTATATTTCTCTTTGAGAACCACTGGGGAATGACCTCTCTGGTCCCTTCTAGTTCTACGTCAGTCTCTGAACTTTCTCATTATATAGTCAACAGATGAGATGCAACAGGCATCCCTGGGTGTGTGGCTCAAATGTTAAGGTAAATATTCAAATTGAAAACCTTAAGGAGAGGTTGAAAAGCTAGAGGGCGAACAGTGATGCATTTAGAAAATTATGACATCTAGAACTCATGACCTTTTGAAAGCAGACAAAAACATATGCAGGAAAGGAAAGCAAATTCGTGAAAAGGGTTGCAAAAGAAAACCAGCCACAACACGAGCAAGCAGAGGAGACTGACACTCTTGCCCCAGCACATACAAATGCCGATGGGACTTGCTATTTAACATTTACTGGATTCCAGGAACACCTTACGGAGGGAGATAAATGAGATATCTGGTCCTAATAGCCTAAAGCTTAAGGGTATTTCTAAGCTATTTTGATATCCTAATGGACACAGAATATAAGGATAAAATATCAAGGTAAAAATATAAAGCCAATTCAAACCAGTGCTTAATCAGCCATGAATTTTTGCTTTTAACAAATGTCTTCCCCTACAATATTCTATTTAGCTTTTTAATAAGCTTCACCAGTTATATTCTTGATTAAATGATACATCTAAGCTTATTACTCAAACATTTAAACAGATTAAAACAATTCAAATCACATTAATAATTATGTAGATTATGCAATCATGAATATCATGTCAGTTTTCTGCTCCTCCAAGACTTCATGTATAGATTTCTGTGTCTGTCTCTTAAGTTCATATTTATCTCCTCTTACTATTTTTTGAGCTTAAATCAACCAGTGAAAGGTGAAGATACTACTTTGCATGACGTGAAGCATGCGTATATGAAGAACTAGGGAAATACTAACAATTAAGACAGTGACTTTTTCCCCAAGTATAGTTGCAAATAATTTGAAGAAGACTGTTTTTCTTTGTTTATCAAAGGTTTTTAAAACACTGATTTTAAGGAACTTTAAGAAACAGTATGAAATGGAAACTGATGCTATCAACTAGTAATATTTTAGAAAATTTACTCAAACTTTCACAGTTCATTCAGGAATACAGAATTGGCTGATGATCGCTTACCTGAATATATTATAACATTACTGTGTTAATAAAACTGCAAGGAAATTTACTAAAGATAAAAATCAAGGGGAATTTGGTTTGATTTTCATATAAAAATATAAAGGCAATTGGGCAGCATTTTAAAAAGTAGGTATTCATGAAGCAATAACTAAGCTGTGATGAGGCTTTCAACACAGAATACACAATAAAGCACGTTAAACTTACATTGCACATTTCTCTGACTATAGCTTTTTCTGTCTCACTAAGGTCATGTTCATACTCTTTACCCTGTTGACGATCTATAGTTTCCTGAACATCCAAGACCTGGATTTGTTGAAAAAGAGAAGCAAATTTCACACGGAAAAGAAAAAATTTGTTAGTTATGGATAAAAACCATCGAGGAGCTCCACTTTGTAAAACCTTTAGTTTTTCCATGTCTGCATATCAGGGTGGATTAGGATACGGCAAAATCTTTTAAAATAGCTGACTGTTCTGAAACCTATCTGGAGTCAGTTCTGCTTGATTTTCACGTGGCCATTAAGAGCAATATCACTAATAGTCAATTGAATTCATTAATGTCTAAAATAATTAGATGCATTTAGTTAATTTGGTCATTACCATAACCTGACTGTGTCAACCATTTGGACACAGTCAGTTAACTCTTGCTCCATTGTAAAGATAAGCAATATCATTAATTACATGCCAAATAGTCCAAATGATATGTAGACACGGCCTGTAGAAAAAAATGACTGAAAAAGATGATAGTGACAGGTGACACTGGTCAGAACCCAGGAATATGTAACATAAGAACTTTTGTTAACATTAACACTACTGACCTGACAGTTCTCGCCTGGACATGTGCCCAGGGCCTCAGAAAGGACTATGGAGACAGCTCTTTGATGGTAGCAAAGAGAAGCAGTGGCTCCCTAACAGTGAACATATTCGAGCAACACTATTTTTCATTAGAGCAAAGTGGGGATGAGATGCTTTTAAACAGTTTTAGAAACCTATGATTCAACTTCTCTAAATTATCACTAAATGGATTGAGAATAAAATTCTTTGTAAAACATCTGTAAGGTTTTCATGTGGGGACAAAACTTTGGCTTCGAGCGCTATTTATTTTTCCCCACATCAGCTTATAAATCAAAGTGCTGATGATGAAAAAAAGAAAAAGAATGCCTTTCCTAAAAGCTCCTGTAGAATCCACACTGAACTGTAACACAGCTAAACTCCTTGGTTTTGCTGTCATCATAGTCAGTGCTGATGGCCACACCTAAAGGTGTCACCTGAGAATCTGCCCCAGTGAACAGATGAACCAAAATAATTTAAGCCTGAAGTTGGACCTTCATGTCAGCTCATAGTGACTGAGACTACAGTGATATTTACAAGAGTTCAAATCTGTAATAATCTAATTCACAAACTGACTTGCTTATTAACCCAAAACTTCTAACCATTATTACTGTGTAGATGCTGCTTCTTAAAGTAGGCTGTGACAGTGGTAAAAGGGAGCCTCACCCGAGTACTCAACTCATATTGGAGTCAGTTCACAGTCTTTGTATACTTAGAGGAAATCACTGACTGTGCTCAGTGAACATTCATAGAAAATTGAAGAACTTCTGGAATAAACTCATTTGCCTACAAATTCAATTTATAATGCACCTCAGAGAATGTACTTCAAATCAGTTAATTTCTCCTAAATGAAGTGAAGCTCCAATTAATAGTTGTCATGAATTTTAAAGCAAGAAATAGGTGGTGCTATTACTTTTGTGCTAATTCCTCATACTGATTTACAACACTTCCCCCAACCATGACCATAGAGTTTATTATGGTCTAGAGTTTCTAGAGGTGTTTTTTTTAATTTATCAGAAGATGAGAAAGTGAGCCATTGTCTTAAGTATTCTTTTCTAGATAGAAAAATCATATGATATAAATCAGCTCTAGATTGGGAGCTTTTAAAAACATGTCTAGTGGCTACACTTCTTTTTTTTACATTGAGATATTCTAAAGATGCGTTTCCCAGAGGCGATGTTTGCACATATTTCTGTTTCACGACACAGTTAGCTCATGCAAGCAAATGCATGTTCTATATTCAAGAGCCTCCAGGCACCCGATCGAGATGCTCAGTGTTGCTCAGTGTTACCCATTGGCCATGTGAGGACACTTACATGTCCTGATTATAACATAATATCTTCCTTTCGAGATAATAAAATTTCATATGAAAATCACAGCATGAATTCAGAGAAAACTGAAGAGCTCCTCCTTTCCTTCCCCTTCCTTCTAGGCCACACTCACACAGCTGCATTGAGGAATTTGGGGAAGATTGCAATGCTGATCTGATTTAATAAGGCAGTGGGCGAGACAGCTTTCAGACGGTTTGGAAAGTAGGGCAGCGTGCTGAATTTGGAGTAAGTATTTGCAGACGCTAATACTACACGATGGAGGCCACTCCTTCGCTTTCCCATTTCTAAAATGCTTTTCCGATTGCTAGAGCCTGATTTGTGCTAAAGTAACAGCATGTTTAGCATGCTGCTCCCACTAAACAGTATCCAGATGCTGTCAGAGAGCAGGACGTTCATTAGTCAGTAAACCAGAGCCCACCAGACGCAGGGCAGTGCCCCTCTTTCTGGTGCGCCTTCCTGCGAATTCCTCTCAGCTGCTCTGAGTTTTCCCAGCTGAGACAGGAAAAGCCGAATGCACCACCACTGGCTATCAGCCTGGTTCTGCCACCTCCCTTGTCAGCAGTCAGCATGTGTTTGGGAGAAGCCAGTGCATTTTGTCTAAGTTATAGCAAAGTATGGGGGGTTAAATCTACTGCTAAAACATAATCGTCCTCAAGTCAGGCAAATACTGGGACGTTCTCACCTACTTCCTTACTTTACGCATGCCAAGGACAGCGTGGCCCACTCCAAAAGAGTGCACTGTCAGGCTGTTGATAAATCATTCTGAAACCAAAACCATTTTAGAAAAGCTGTGAAACCCATGTGGCAGAAGCAGGACTGAAGCACTCTCCCTAGTTTATGGCCCAGAAAGATTTGGTCAAGGCTACGAGGTAGGAATTATAGGTAATTTGAAAACCAGTGTTTCAGACTTTCAAAATGATAAAACTTCAAGGAACTGTCTCAGTTTTTAAGATGATTTTGATTGCCTGCAGGTTCTTCTCATAGATAGGTAAATATTTCCATTGCTTATTATTAACTTTACTTACTGGAAATCTCATTATTGGTAAAGAAAAATAAATGATAATTTTCAGCCAAATCTTTTGTTAAGTCATTGCAGAATCTGAAGTAAAAGCCTAAAAATTTAACAGCTTCATGATTAAGACCATATATCTATTTTCTAATACTCTATAAAGAAGCACTAAAGCATTAACTAGTTTGAAGACCTAATTTCTATTTAGTGGTGAACAAAGTAGGTCTCTATTTCAAAACTTTTTTTAGTAAATTGCACAATGTACTTCAATTGCATAAAGAAAGAAAAATACGGTATCCTTCCTTATTTTGGCCAACTGTTAACTCCCTGTATTTGAAGACACCCATGTTACAAACACTGCACAGAAAATACCTAAAACAGTATTTTACAGACATAGATATACATGCAGACTTCAGCTTCAACGCAGATAGATATGAATCACATTTCTCAAAACAAAATGATAAAACTAGAGATTCAACCATAAGTACTCAAACCCATTGTTTAAAAAAATTAAAATCATACTTCAGAAATTAAGATAAAACATTACACTACAAGGGGTCAAAAAATAAAGTAGCTATGGTTAAAACAAGAGACCGTGAGGATTACCAGACTAGTAAATGAGCCACACACAACTGAAGTACTAGATAAACGGTTGTACACAGTTGGTTACCTTAAGAGAATGTACCACGGGTTCAGGCTGCTGAGAAGGTGTGGTATGTCCACTGAAGCTAGCTGGAGAGTTGGGTGAACTGTTACTCCCATCAGCCCCTGATGACAACCTAAAAGAACCCTTAGTAGAAAATCAACAACTTTGTTATTAAAACAAAGGTCGTTTATAACTGCAGAGATGTCATTCAATATTCAATCGCACTGCCAAACGAGAATTAGCCATTTTGTTCATTTTTTTTCTAGCCTGTCCTAAGATGCTGTCAGCCTGTTCATTGGAAGACACTTGCTGCTTAACCAGCAAAAAAGCCTTAAACAAGAGCCATCTCTACGCATGTCCAGGTGTCACTTCTGATTTACCAAAGAGAGCAATACCCCCTAAGGAATGCCCATTAAGAGCATTTCAAGAATGATTTTTGAAACTTAAAAGATACTGAAGAGTAGGGAATTGGTGAGTTACTCCACAGCCGAGTTAAACATGCTCACTCAGCAAGACAAATGCCATCTTCCATATGTCTCAGAAAATGCAGACACGTCATACTCCTGCATTAAAGAAACAGTGTCTGAAGGGAAGACCTAAAGTGGAACATTTCCCAAAGAGATTTAACCAAATTAAATGTTTTCTTTAATAATTCTCTTACGAACTTTTAAAAATTGGAAGACAAAATAGATCACAAATGACATATTTGTAGGTTCAGTGACTCTTCCACTGAATGGCTGAAAAATCAGAACCTGGGCATTATTGATATGACCTGTGAGAGTCAGAGTCACCCATACAGGAACTGGGAAAAAGTAAAAATGTCACTTTTTCTCGGGGTTTCTTGGGAACAAGACTAATGGATCAGGAAAGAAAAAGAACAGCAGTTATCTACCCTCTTAGCAAAAACAATCTAATGGGAATTTTCCAAACCTGTTTTGAGGCCCTGAGAAGTTTTAATTTTTGTCCATCAACAAATCTGTACATTTTTTCATATCTAATAGATTAATAACTTCCATTTAATTGATCCTAGGGACCTAACCCCCTGAGAAGGAGCCACTGAAGAAGCATCATGTGTGGTTGCATCAAGGGAAGAAACAAGAGTGGTCTGGGACGTTAGTTCTCCAGCATCTACAGCAGAGCTTCGGTGTGCATTTTAGGGAGAAGCTGAGCACAGCAACAGAGGTATGGGTTTTATACAAACCATACTATTCGTAGAGAATTAACTCTTGAGTTTTACAAAGATTATTTATGCAATTTGGAATATCTTCCCCCTTCCCTTGTCACTGTCATTTCTTCCTATGTCTTTGAAGGCTACCTCTGCCACCTCACAAGTCAGCTGAGGCCATGTTCCTTTCCTTATGCAACCAGATCAGGTCCTGCCCCCACTCTCACTAGCCAGCAGGGAGCGGAAGTCATGGAATATGACCTTTCGGTGACTTCTCCAGCTTCTGTCCTCCACTGTGACTAATGATTAAATTAATAGCAGGCGATGACACAGGACATGCAATTATAATAGCCTCAAACCCGTCTGGGAATAAATATTTGTAAGATTTGTTCTCCTGTATTTGTAATTCGGATCAAATCAGACATAATGGATGGTACCCAACACAAATAACAGAAGGGGAACTATTTGAAGTTTCAAGATGATTAATAGGCACACCCTCCCCACCACCAAATTTTGGACATCTTCCTCTGCAGAGATCAAATATTTCCAAAATGAAGGGAGTTATAAAGGAAGCTCTTCCCTCAATAGCTCTGGTACTCTACTGTTCTCTTTCCCTACTGGTACCACCCTTACGAACTCTTGAAAAGGCTTCTGAGATTACACAGAGTTCGTGTCAACCTTCTCACGTGGGATCCACCACTGCAGTGCTGTGCTCCCTCTGACGGGTCAGCTAACTCGGCAGGGAGTGAGCCTTCCCCCTCTAGGCTGCACTCCCTTCCAGTTCATCCTTTCAGATCCTTTTGTGCTTAGTAATTTTTTGGGGGGTGGGTTATTTATTTGTTAGACTTATTAATTAATTTATTTTTAATGGAAGTTCTAGGGATTAAACTCAGGACCTCATGCATTGTGGGCATGCACTCTGACACTGAGCTATATACCTTTCCTCCTCAAATGCTTTTCTGCCCAGACCTTCTGTTTCAAAGGTTCCTTTCCAGACCTGGCAGAATGGTAGGCACGTCAATTCTAGCTTGCTTGTCCTTGGGCACGGGGCCTCTATCTTTCAGGGTATTTTGGTTTAGGAGAATATCTGAAATAGATGATAAGTAACTTCCCTAACCCCCTGGGCAATTTAGCACTGTTTAAACTTAAGGGTAGACCAAGACTATCCTTATCTATTCAGAAAAACACCTTTATTAAATGAAGTATTAATAATAATAGCTATGATGGAAACTATATAATGGGAAAAAACTTTGAGGATTAAAGTTCTACTTCAAATTTGCTTTGTGAGCCATGGACTAGTAATCACTAGAAAGGTCAAAGTTCATATTTTATGTGGTTTCTTTGAGGCCACAAAGGTAACCAAATGCTTGATAGAGTCATACACTAACAGGTGCTAAGTAGTTTTCTAGATTATAGCAGAAACAAGCACCTCATTCTATCACATCTCATCTAGTTACTATAAAATTAAAGGTTAGGCTTTCTGTGTTCTTATTAGTAGAGTCAGACTAATATCTGGAGAATTCTCTGGGCTCTGTCAATACATACTCTCAGTGGACTAAAGCATTTTCACTGAAGTGTTATTTGAAACATGCTGAGTGAAATACTAGCACAACAATGATTTTAAACAGTCCCTTGGAGTTTATTTCAATAAGATTTTAGCCTGTTATTTAAATTGTATCTTGGCTGGCTCAGGAGACAGGAAATTTAAAGAGAAAATCTTAATAAAATTGGAAATGTGACTCCCAGCTTTGGGGATGCTTGTTTTAAAGCTACCTGTGATCACATAGTGGACACCCCACCAGTTTGAAAGGGGCAAGAGATAATTTTCTAGGCTGGCTGTTAAAACATCTGTTGGTGTCTAACAATGCATTTACATGGCCACTGACCTTTAAACTCCTTTTCATGAAAGGTGCAGGAACATTCCTTCTCCAGTGCTTGGGGTTACTCAACTTTCTCTCCCAGACTTAGGGAAAAAACACTGAAGGCAACTGTAGAGGAGGTGACAGTCTCTACTCCCGCCTTCCCTCCCCTGATGTGGATACACAGTGACTTTCTTTCATGTGGACTGATTTATTCTCCCCCCTCAGTGTAACTTTTCCTCTAGCAACAGAAGTGATCTGGTCAAGCACAAGAAAGTCAGCAGCTGACTCATCTTCACTCACCGGGAGAGTGGGCAGGCATCGTCCTATTCCTCGGCACCCTTGCCACCACTGCAAGACCCGCCGGGCTCTGGGCCCCCAGCCTTTCTCCATATTTGAGCTGTTTCTAGTTGGAGGTTGCCTTCTATTCTGGGTGGCCTTATATTTGGAACAATACAGTACAATCACTCAGAAAAATACTGTTTCCCAAGTCTCAAGAAAGCAGATAGAACAAGAAGCTTAATGAAATGAACCACAATGACCACGATGGCAAGCTTGTAACATGCACCTCTAATGAGGGAAAAAATTAAAACAAACTCACTGAATTCCGGACTGTTTTTAAAGTTTTGGGCAAAGGTATAACTAATTTTCAAGCTATCAAAAAGAGATGGATGACAATGCCAAAATGCCAGGAAAAATTTGAAGCTATTTATACAACTTAAGTTTGTTGGTTTTACTTGTGAGACATAGAGAATTAACATAAATCTTAGAAATTATTTAAATGCAATTGGGAACACACTGACCTTTTGTTAAGAAACACAGATTGGGTAGGTATATTCAATAATGCTCAGAAAAACTGACATTGCATCAAATTCTCAGCAAAATTTCTGCACACTGTAAGTATATAATAAACTAAGAGACCACCACTGCATTAAAATTACTATTTTATGTGAGACAGATAACTAATTAATAGAAAATTTGATAATCATGCAATTCCCAAATGTCTGTACTGGTTGGAACTAGAGATATCACATAACGGACATAAAAAGAAAATACAAAAAATTTTTTCCCTAAATTTCAGTTTTTTCCCATACCCAAACTGTATTTTGTTTGGGGGTGGTAATTAAGGTTTATTTATTTTAATGGAGGTACTAGGATCAAACCTAGGACCTCATGCATGCCTAGTACACACTATACCACTTCCTGACCTTTACCCGCCCCTCCCCCATGACCAAACTGTAATTTTATTAAAATGATCAGAAACAAAATGCACTCATTTGACCATAATTTCTTGGCCCTGCCAACTTTCACTAAGACCTGTATCTAAGAATGCTATGTCCTAAGGAATAAGAAAAAAAATTTTTTTAACACAGAAGATTTGCAAATATAGTCCAAAATATAGTTTCCAGTGTCCAAACGTTTAAGTTAATTTTAGGAGACTGAGAATGAATACATAATGTTTAGTTCTCATTAATCTATTATCCTAGAAGTATGTGGGTAGCCCTGGTCTCATTTTTATTTTACTCTAATTTTTGGAGGCTGAACAATAAAGAACAATAAAGAAAATGTACCATGGTCTTAAGTAAAAAAGGGGAGTAGTGATGGCCAGTAGTTGGTACTCACATTTTTCTGAATCTATAAAATCAGTACCAGTTACCTATTAAGTCAGTCACACATATTCCTCACATATAACAAACAAACAGAAAGTTACATATTTGTACGTGGACCATAATGACCATTTCATCAAAGCAACACTGATTTAAACTTTGCTTTTTTAGTAATCATTTCACGTGCCAGTGTCTTATTTATTTCCATCATCAAAAAAGAGGTATATCCAATAATTTATAATATGGCCGATGGCTTAAAATTCACTTCCCACCCCAATCCGCATGGTTCTATTTCTGAGATGATCATTAATGCAGATTTTTGACAAATGAGGTCTCTCTTCCAATTCTGGTTCTCTTCAGGACTGATGCATCTCTCAGATCTTAACGATTTTTGGATTCAACAACCAAGTGAAACATAAAAATTCCTTTCACTCTTCTTTACTGTATAGTGAGAATAAATCTCAGTGCCTCTCCACTGTAACAAAGCTTATAATCATAACGCTGAAATCTAAGGTAACATCTCTAACCATTTAGATGCCTGCTGGAAAGAGCACTTTCAAAAAGCAGATACAACATGCAATAGCTGTGACTTTCAGTATCTTGTAAAAGGTTCTTTTTAAACATATTAACTATAGCTTGTATAGCATTATTAACCTCATAAGAGGGGACAATAAACAGGCCAATTTTTATGGAAGAATAAAGTACCTGAAGATATCACCATTTTAAAGGAAAAGGTACTCTTAGAATCAGGATTATTGACTTTCTACTCATGTTAGCAATGTCTTACTTTAATCCAGGCCATGGAAAAAATGTGTTCTGGACCAGCCATCATTTTTGACCTTCAAGTAAAATATATCTGAATAGTATTTATAAACTAATGAAGGGTTAGCTCTTTGCTAGCTCTGCAGTTGACAATCTTGCTCTTTTCTGAAGACAGCTGTAGAAAACATAAGCCTTCAGTAATTCAGTGGTTGAAGTTGTCTCTAGCAACTTCAGAGCCTGAAGCGGGAAAACCCCAGATTCTGACCATCCACTGGGAGGACAATTCCAAACAGCCTTAAGAAAGTCACTCCCTATTTTCTGAGGAATTCTATTTTGCTTTGTTTTCTGCAGTTTTCCAAAAATCCAAATGTATTTTAAAAAGGTCATGCACAAATGACCCTACTATTCCAATAGAAATCTGTGTACTCAGCAGCCACTTTATATATAGTTACATAGAGTAACCTGCAAATTATTTTAGGTGTAGTGATGGTCCAGCCTAAATACTAATAGCAAAGTGATGCTCTGCATCAAGACTGTGTGGGAGGTAAGTGACAGATAATTTGCTACGTGGCAAATACTCCTTATAGGAATCACAAATTCTAATATTGTAAGCAAACACCCTAGATAGGGAAACAAAAGCACACCTCAGCATAACGCAGACCATGTATGACAAGCCCACAGCTAACATCATTCTCAGTGGTGAAAAGCTGAAAGCATTTCCTCTAGGATGAGAAACAAGACAAGAATGTCCTCTCTTGCCAGTTATTCAACATGGTGTTCGAAGTCCTAGTCATAGAAATAAGACAAGAAAAAGAAATAAAAGAAATACAGATTGGAAAGAAAGAAGTAAAAGTGTCACTGTTTGCAGATGATACTATATGGAGAAAATCCTACACACACCACCAAAAAACTAATAAAGCTCATCAATGAATTTAGCAAAGCTGCAGGATACAAGATTAATACATATAATCTGTTGCTTTTCTATACACTAATAATGAACTATCAAAGAGAAAGTAAGGAAACAATGACACTTAAAATTGCATCAAAAGCATGAAATACACAGGAATAAATTTAACCAAGGAGGCAAAAGACCTATAGTCTGAAAAGAATAAAATAATAATGAAGGAAATTGAGGATGATACAAACAAACGGAAGGATATCTCATATTCATGGGTTGGAAGAAATAATATTCTTAAAATGTCCATACGACCCCAAAGCAACCTACATATTTAATGCAATCCTATTCAAAATACCCATGACATTTTTCACAGTACTAGAACAAATAACCCTGAAATTTAAATGGCATCACAAAAGACCCCAAATACCAAATCAATCTTAACAAAAAACCAAAGCTGGAGGTATCACACCCTGAGTTCAGAGTATTACAGAGCTACAGCAATCAAAACAGTATGGTACTGGCACAAAAACAGACAACACAGATCAATGGAACAGAATAGAGAGTACAGAAATAAACCCACACATTTATGGTCAATTAATCTATGATGAAAGAGTTAAGAATATATAATGGGGAAAAGACAGTCTCTTCAATAAATAGTGCTGGGAAAACTGAACAGCTACATGTGAAAGAATGAAATTAGAACATTCTCATACCATATACAAAAATAAACTCAAAATGGGTTAAAAACCTAAATGTAAGACCAGAAACTATAAAACAAAGTGGAAAAATAGGCAGAACACTCTGACATAAATTGTAGCAATGTTTTTTTGGGGAGAGAATCTGTCTCCTGAGGAAAACAAAAGCAAACATAAGCAAATGGGACCTAATGAAACTGCACAGCAAGGGAAACCATCAACAAAGTGAAAAGACAACTTATTTAATGGGAAAAATATTTTCAAATGATATGACCAATAAGGGATTAATATTCAAAATATATAAGCAGCTCATAAAATTCAGTATCAAAAAGCAACCTGATTAAAAAATGGACAGAAGACCTGAATAGACATTTTTCCAAAGAAGACACAGAGATGGCCAGCAGGCACACAAAAAGATGCTCAACATCATTAATCATCATAGAAATGCAAATCAAAACCAAAATGAGATACCACCTAGAATGGTTATCATCAAAAAGACCACGAATAACAAATGTTGATGAGGATGTGGAGAAAAGGGAATCTTTGTACACTATTGGTGGGAAAGTAAATTGGTGCAGACACTATGGAAAACAGTAAGGAGATTCCTCAAAAAATTAAAAACAGAACTACCATATGATCCAGCAATTCCACTCCTAGCTATTTATCCAAAGAAAATGAAAACAGTAATCTGAAAAGATAAATGCACCCCAGTATTCACTGCAGCATTATTTACAATAGTTAAGATATGGAAGCAACCTAAGTGCTCATCAATAGATAAATGGATAAAGATCATGTGAGATATATGTATATAAATGAAATATTACTCAGCCATAAAAAAGAATGAAAATTTGCCATTTCCAACAACATGGACAGAACTGGAAAGTGTTATGCCTAGTGGAATAAAGTAGGGAAAGAAAAACACTGATGTTATCATTTATATGTGGAATCTTAAAAAAAAAAGGATGAATATAACTAAATAGAAACAGACTCATAGATGTAGAGAAAAAAACTAGTAGATGCCAGTGGGGCAAGGAAAGGGGAAGGGCAAGGTAGGGGTAGGGGGTTAGGAGGTACAAACTACTAGGTATTGAAATAAATAAGCTAAAAGAATATATTGTGCAGTATAAGGAATATAGCCAATAATTTATAATAACTTTAAATGGAGTATAATCTATAAAAATTTTTAATAACCATGTTGTACACTTTGAATTAATATTGTAAATAAACTATAACTTCACCTGGAACTAATATTGTAAATCAACTATACCTTCAATTAAAAAATTAATAAAAAACATTCAAAAAATTATATATGAGAATTATTAAATGAAAATAAAATAAATCATGAATTCTGATACTGTAAGCAAACACCCTAGATCAGGAAACAAAAGCATCCCTTCAAATCACTGAAGAAGATAAAACACATGTTACCACTTCCTCCTTTCATCACATGATATCTGGGAGCTCTCCTTCCATGAA